TTATACAAGGGTGATGGTTATGTGATTATGTGTATATATATATACATTCTATGAGGTTGATGATTGGATAATCTTAGATACATATATATACATTCTATGAGGTTGATGATTGGATGTTCAAGTGAGAAAAGGAAAAATTACGCCGTTTTTTTAAATTTTAATTTTTGTATATTTTTTTTCTGTACTTTACAAAAGTTTAAATATATTTTTAAATTCAGAATATAAAGATGATACACAGTAGACAACTACATATTTAAAAACTAAAATTAGTTTTTGATAAAATGGAGTGTGTGTGTTAAAGTCTACAAGGTAGTATTACTTTAGTTTGCTAGTTTACCACTAGATGGCGACGTGTATTAAATTTTGTTTGTTTGAAATTAAGCACAAACCTACACAACGAGCTATCTGGGCTCTGCTCACCACGGGTATTGAACCCCGGTTTCTAGCCTTGAGTCGGCTCTGTGTATATATATATATATATATAAGGATGATTGTATAACATTTAACCATACAGCATAGACGACAAGTATAGTACTGTTTACATGTTTTACCAAGTTTTTACCCTTTGAAGCTGGTTTTCATGACTAGTCGGAGCGATAGGTAGAGAAACAAGACTTTCCCCAATACTTTTGAGTGTTACCAGCGTCCTCTAGTGGTCATTGTTTCTCTTATCTATTGCTGCAGGAATTTTAATATATATACTTGTGCGTCAGTGGCGGTTCTCCTGTTAAATGTTTGTTATTTACTTGTATCTGTCCTAAGGTTTTTATACATCCGGTCACGTCAATATATGATAATATTAATAAACAAACCAACAACTGTACCTGAAGCACTTCGTTCAGGAGTAAAGGGATTTGACCTTGAAACACAAAGTTACCAGCTAGGCCTAAAATCGTCATGAAGACATTCGGGTTCTTCAGGATTCTCCACAGGACGAGTAGAACCTTGTTCACAATCTTCAGTTTCTGATCGTTTTTTTTCTCGGGTGAAGGGGTGTTTTGCCCCTCACTCGTCCGTAACTTCTCTACCTCCATTAGTAGAAAAGCTATTGGGTTGAGGATCATGAGAGATATGGGGGAGATAAGGTACAGATACCCCGGATACGTGGGCCTGTATTTCTCATAGAGCGATGATACTGAACAGACGAAGCAAATAAAACAATTACAATTACTTTTAGACATGTTATAAACAAACAAAAGTAGAGAGTAGATCAAAAAGAAAGGGGACGATAACTGTTTTCATATAATTTATTAATTACATCCTATAGTATTAAAACTAACGAGCGGATATCGATACTGAATAAGTAATTGACTACACGTGACTTTACTATTAACAAAGAATACGTGCCTATACAGTTTTGAAAGTTCGGTATTATCATTAATACCCTTAGAAAAAAATACGCGTACTTCTAGAATAATGTACTAAAACTTGGATACTTTGTTTCGTACGTTTCACTGGGCGTTTCTTAGCCTGGTTGTTTATGTTGTGATGCGATCATGTTTCTACCGCCCTTTGATGCTTGATTTAACCCAAACAGTGTGTTGCGTTTGAGTGTTCTTGTTTATAACAGTCATAAAAATGTGTATCTATCTTAGAGTACACGTACCCAGAGGATAAGCAAGTCCAAAGTCGTTTCCTTGCGTACAAAATATTCCGTACAGTCCAGCTTCTGCAAGGTCAACCGGCTTCTGCAGTACCACCGTTGTCAGGACCACTAGTATGAACGTCAGGGATTTCCCTACAAATATGCCTACAATGAAATGCCAGTTGACAGCTGCTAAGTCCAATGTTGCTAAGTTGAGGAATATAAGCGAAGGTAGGGAGAAACTGGAAGTAAACACCTTCAACCCTGTCATATCATCCTTTTGAACAACTCCGAAACGACCGGCCAAGTACCTGTGTTACAAAAATGATAAAATTGCGTCAGTTATGTTGTTTTAAATAAATATCTTATAAAATATAATATATGTCTAGAGGGATATCTGGCCGCACGTGTCCTAATAGTTTAGCGTACAGGGCTGTGAATCCGAGAGTCTCGGGTTCGCGTCCCATTACCATAAAAACTGTATGAGCTTCGCACCTTGGTGCCATGAGTGCGTTATAGTACTGACGATCAAACTTAATTGTTCACTTAGAGTAACTCAAGAGTTGTTGGTAGGTGCTGTTGACTTGCTGTCTTCCCTATCTTTACCCTTGGTAGGTGTTGTTGGCAAACTGTCTTCCCTCTCTCTACCCTTGGTAGGTGTTGTTGGCAAGCTGTCTTCCCTCTCTCTACCCTTGGTAGGTGTTGACTAGCTGTCTTTCCTCTCTCTACCCTTGGTAGGTGTTGTTGGCAAGCTGTCTTCCCTCTCTCTACCCTTGATAGGTGTTGTTGGCAAGCCGTCTTCCCTCTCTCTCTACCCTTGGTAGGTGTTGTTGGCAAGCTGTCTTCCCTCTCTCTACCCTTTGTAGATGTTGTTGGCAAGCTGTATTCTCTCTCTACCCTTGGTAGGTGTTGTTGGCAAGCTGTCTTCCCTCTCTCTACCCTTGATAGGTGTTGTTGGCAAGCTGTATTCTCTCTCTCTACCCTTGGTAGGTGTTGTTGACTAGCTGTCTTCCCTCTCTCTACCCTTGGTAGGTGTTGTTGACTAGCTGTCTTCTCTCTCTCTCTCTACCCTTGGTAGGTGTTGTTGGCAAGCTGTCTTCCCTCTCTCTACCCTTGGTAGGTGTTGTTGACTAGCTGTCTTCCCTCTCTCTACCCTTGGTAGGTGCTGTTGACTAGCTGTCTTCCCTCTCTTTACCCTTGGTAGGTGTTTTTGACCAGTTGTCTTCCCTCTCTCTACCCTTTACAGTCAAAGTTAGGGACGGCTAGAATAGGTAACATTTCATTTCGAGCATAAACAATAAGTTTCTTGTGTAACTTTCCTTGAATTTCCGAAACAGATATATATATATATATAATCAAGAAATTTAAAGACCCTAATCAATACTGCTAGCTGGGTTCGAACCTAGATTATTACTTGATCTTTCCAGACGATTCACTTCCTAAGTGCTTTTTGAACCATATACAACATCAATTTAGTCTAACTCTGATTAATTATTAGCCTAATTTCGAGGAATAATTTTTATCCTATTTCACAATAAATTTCTTTCTACTCCTACACATTCGTTTTGATATTTTGGTAGATAGAAAACAATTAAAACGACTGAATACTTAGGAGAAAATTCTGTCTTTTATTTACTATTTTCAAGACTTTAGCTTACTTAGTGTAAACTATTTCATCAGCAACTGGTGTGATCAAGTCACTGAAGCTAGGCTTGTTGTTTCTCTAACATTCTTCTTTAAGTCCAGACTACATTCTTCTTTAAGTCCAAACTACATTCTTCTTTAAGTTCAGACTACATTCTTCTTTAAGTCCAAACTACATTCTTCTTTAAGTCCAAACTACATTCTTCTTTAAGTCCAAATTACATTCTTCTTT